CATGTGGAAGTCACTGCGCATCAAGATCATCAACCTGAAAAACACACACACATTGCTCACATGGTCTGGATGTTGCCCTGTCACACAACAACTCCTGTCCTCTATCCTTGGGGTTAAATGAGCTATTTATGCAAAAGAGCAGACTAAGAGTGAACTTCAAAAGATGCACTGATAAACAACGCTAAGAACAGAGACAGAAAGAGGAGAGAAGGAGAGCTGAAAAAGAAAGGCATGGATTTGCCCTGCTGTCAGGAAGACACTTAAAATAATGAAATAATATTTTCATGTCTTTCATTTACAATATTTGATTATAGATGAGAGGATGTTCTGCCTGTAGAAAGTTTAACAACAGTTCATCACACACACACACACACACACACACACAGATGTGGCAGCCAGCTCTAATGACTTTTACGATTAACATCAGGTCTGATTGTGTTGGGGATGTGTCTCGGCGCAGCAGCCGATCAATAAATCTGCTAGATAAATGACCCTGAGTCAACGAGGGAGTGAAAGGCCACAGCACAGACTAATCAGCAGCTCTGACGCTTTACAAAATAGTCCATTTAGTTCCATCATTGTGACATTTTCTTACATGTTCAGAGTAGAGCTGCTGCTCTTTTCTCCTTTATATCAACACATCTGTGTCTCTTCCTCGGGGCGAAAGATTTGTGTTACTTTTATTCCAACAAAACTTGTTGTTTGGGATATGATGAAAGAGGAGCACATTAGTGGGTTTTTACCAATATTGATATTTGCAAGTTGAAAAAAACTAACGAAATATTCTTGATAAATTAAGAGTTCATTAGTGATGTTTAGAGGTTCTGGTAGGTGGATTTTGTTGCCTTTAGACCAGAGCCAGGCTCACTGTTTGTCCCTGCTTTTAGTTTTTGTGCTAAGCTAAGCTAACCTGTTGCTGGCTCAAGCTTTATATAGAGCAAACAGATATGAAGTATTTTCCAAAATGTGATCGATACTTTTTATTCAGCCAATAAATCTCATCAGTGTACTTCCTCTTAGTAATGTGACCAAGTAAAAAGTAGATAAAAAGGTGAGATTTGGAGCACGCTGACTATTAAAGGTCCAATAATATAGTGGAATATACTATTTATAGGTATGTTTTCACTTAAAAATAATAATTGTTGTTTGTGTTACCCTAGAATGAGCCATTTTTATCTACAGAGGGAGTGGGTTTCCACAGAGGCAGGAATGTTTAACCGCCATGTTTCTACAGGAGCCAAGAACGGACAAACCAAACACAGGCTCTATATATGGCCTTCCATGTATTCCACTGTAGTTTCTCCTACATGCTTGGAAGGATGAGCTATATTCAAATGGTTGGTATCAAACATATTCCTTTAAATTCAATTCTGTTAGCCATACAATTAGACTAGGAGTAGCTTATATGTAACTACACATATTCTTATGTTTTCTACAAAATTAAGACAAAGCACAGAACGTTAAAAGAGCAAACAAGAGTAGTAGGATTGTTTTTTCACCTGCACTTGCAACCTAAAGAAATTAAACTCAGCTGGAAACGTAGTAAAGTGAAAGTACTAACGCTAACCCTAACCCATATAATATATTATATAACAATGAAACATACTGTGATACAGCATTGTGCTTCAACTACTGCAATTTGACGGCTTTCTGATAGCATGCAGGGTTTTCCACGTCACAGACATCCGGCTGAACAGAAATAATTTCCATGCAAGAGCTGACACGTGAATGAAAGTTGACTGATGTTTATATGCGTCACCACAACAAAACTGATGGATGTAAGAGGGTGACACAGAGACATATGGGTAATCCTGCAAATGTCAGAGGTAACTATCTAATGTCAGTGTTGCTATTTGTGGCTTCATAACTCCACTAAACAAATGACGACCGATGCAAGCAAACTTCTTTTTAAGGGGAAACTGGCAGCTATTTTTATCTGGGGAGGAATTTTTGAAAAAGGCTGGTGACTGTTTGTTTTGAATGGGTGTTTTCCCAGAGCTCCAGGTCAGACTCTCTGTGATGAAAAATGATTTTATCATGCAAATCTCTTCCTCAAAGTCAAAGCAAACTGATAAATACATTGGATAATGCAGAGAAACATTTTGTTTTGCTTTGGTACAAGGTTGCTTGCAATTTAAAGCATTAAGAATCATTATTATTAAGTACAATAAAAGCAAAGAGTTGCCGCTTGATAAATAAAATAACAATATAGTGAGCGCAATGTGAAAAACTTTTTGAAAAGGTCATCAGGGACTGTCATCATGCTAAATTTAATATAATTTGCAGACTGTTGTGCCATGATTTACTGGAATAAAAGTTTCTGTTAAAAGGGCTGCAACTATTTATTATTGCATTTCTGTAAAACTGGGGGGTTAACAAGAGACACATTTACAAGAAGAATGGTCTAAATTAATGCAGTCACCAGTAAGACTTTAAAGACCTTTTAATGCCACATAGAATGCAATTTAATACCTGTTTTTATAAGAATGAAAGTATGATGGAAAACCAGCAGGAACAATATGGCTTTGACTTATAAATTACATTTATTCAGTGCTTCTCAGCAGTATATCATAATAAGTGACAATGATAAAAGAGGCATTCTCCATGATGTTACACCTAAAGTTATGTAATACTACACAGCCATCATATCTTAAACGTGAATAATGTCCCAGCTGCTTTAAGAAAATTATTTCCAGGATGAATGTCCAACTAACTTGTGTTGTTAGCCTAATCAGCCTGTTCTTTTTTCTTTACTTATGGAAATGTTTTTCTTTTACCCAAATAATTCTGACAAGACAAACATGGGCCATCATATACTGTGTGAAGTTCCATAGCAAAAACATGCTTCAAAGGGTGACACATTTATGAACATTATTGAATACAACAGAATAAAATAATTCTTTCTCTGAATGTAGAGCATTAATAGCTAAAAATCTAGCTATTTATCTAAATTATGTATTTGTATGTGAATTTTTAAACTGCTTTTAATCACTCAAACTGCATTATGAATCTGTGCAGAACTGCAAGTGCTTGTGTATAAAAATACAGAGAATTCAATTGAATGAGATTTGTTTGTTTATTATTTTATGTTTGTGTATAGTAAAGTAAAGTAAGTTTGTCTCTGTGGTTTGACAGAATATGATATTGGTTGTTGCAGTCAGTTGCAGTTTATTATATTTTATTATACATCAGTTAAAGTCGTATTTTCAGGTCTTTTTGAGCCATAGAGGGGAGACGCTCTGTGCCCGATGAGTACAAATAATGCAGAGAGTTTGAGAGGAAGGAAACAATAGTGCCCTCTGGTGAAGAAAATCAAGACATGACTGGGGCTGACACATCATTTGACCAGGGGGGAACGACTGTGTCTTACAGTTTTTCTTCATTCATATTAGAAATGAAAGCCCTGTTTTAAGAATAGGTGATACACACACTGCAAAACTGTTTCCATTTGCAAAACAACGAATGCAAGCTCCAACAGCTGGCTCTCTTTATATTTATTTAATAATCAAAATCGCGGGCTTGTGTCTAAAAAGTAAATACTGTAACAAAAAACTATTCACAACCTTCTTGTGGATGTGCATGGAATCAAAAGTTCAAACCTGCAGTCATTCAGTGGCAATAAACAAACTAAATGTCTCAGTCTGTTTACTGCTCCATATCTCACCTGTCATTTACTCCTGTAATAAGTTCCCTGGTCACACACCTTAAATATATACTGTCATGTGACAAATACAGACTTGACATGACTGCGACCTGGATATGAGATCTGAGTTTGTACTTTCATATGGAAAGAGAGAGACCATGGGTACTGCTGGATGGGCTTGGAGTCTCTCCTGAGTCCTGAACTGCATCACCGCAGTCTGATGGATCCTCACATTGCCCAATATGACACAGTGACAAAAGTCCTTACATAGATTTCCCACGTACACACACCCCTCAGCTGCTTTCAGATTCTCTTTGCTTGTATGTTCTTAGCAACAACCGGTAACTAACCTGGTGTGTTCCTTTTACATGTTACCTCAAACTGATTGTAGAGGCAAAGGTTTTGTACCGCTGTATATTTTCACACAGTAGAAACAGATTACTCTTCAGTCGGAACAAGCCTCTTAGCTGCAAAGTTCACTCAAGTGTCTGCACTTGTGTTAAACCATGTTTTCTGTATAATAGTAGAGTTAAAAGCACCAGAAATAATCCAGGCATAGAACACAGCCAGCAGAAGTGCAACAAATCAATAGAGAAAAAATGTTAACACATACAGTACAGATAATTATCAAATACCTTGAGTCTCTCTTTAAGTTCAAATAGTTAAGCAACATCCAAACTATGAGAAAAGCAAATGAAAGGGTCCTTACTTTCATATCAACTTTTATTATATTTAATCTGTATTAAAATTAGTTATTAAACATTAACACACCTTTGGATTGGGCAGGATGTGTTAAATATGGCATGTTTGTCTACATAGTATGATACAGAATATAAACTTTATCCTCTGTATCCTTCTTTATTAAACTCTTAAAATGTAAAGACGATACACTTATAAGAATGTGTTGGAAATAAAGCATGGTACCGGGAGGAAAGCCTTGATGTCTTTCACAACTGTACCATACATAGTTTTAAAATATAACGCAATGCTTTGTTCTCTTTGATTATTAATGGATTTTTAAACAACGTATCAGGTTGGCAGTTTTCCAATGAGAATTTTCCCAGTGACATGAAATTAGCATCAAGTGTGCATCATTACTGAAAATATACAGTATCTACAACTGCAGTGGTAAATCACTAAATATGTCCATTTATGGTAAAGATTAAACTCATATCTACATGTACTGAGTAAAGTGCCTATGATGGATGCAGAAGCTATTTTAACTACAACGAAGGCGAGTGTGAAGTCAGTTCTGGGATAATCGTAGTGTCGAAGAACCACAGAAACACAGGATAGGTTTTATGAAGAGTCTATTTACAGGGAATACAAATACAGTAAATATGAACATTTTAGGACCTCCTGAAGATCAACATTTATTTTAAAAAAGTATACAAAATTAAAATACAATAACAAATTCACATCCATTTCATTTTAAAACATAAAACTGTACAATTTAAAGCCTATTACTCTGTATTTCTTTCTTTTTTGGCATCAGGTGTGTTTGCCGTTCACAGACGACAGCAGTTGCCAACAATGCCAGATGACCCTCACTGGTTGATTGTCCCAGTAGTGTATTAACAAGTGCTTCAGTCAGTTGATTCAGTTAGGTAGAGCCAGAGTTCAGCATGTAACAAAGTTTTAGTGACACAGTGCGCATAGAAAAGCCGAGCTTCTGCGAGAACCCCCCCTCTGTCCGAGCTTTGGAGGGAGCCAGTGGAAAACGTTACCGGCCCAGAGAGCCCCATCCCGGTTAAAACAGTCACTGAATAAAACCAGAGTAAAGCTCCGTCACAGGCGCCTGATGCTCCTCTTGCTGCGAGCGCTGCCTGGTATGATCGGGGTCGACTTGGAAGAGAGGAAGTGGGGTCGGGGCTGGACCACCCTGCAGGGGGTCGAGCCGTGGAAGGCCTCCTGGCACTGGGTGCAGAAGTCGAAGAGGCAGCTGGGACGCCTGCACGTGGCCCTCTGAGCCTCGCCCAGATGAGTCGCTGGTGAGCCACAGCGCTTGCATGGGCGCAGGGACTCGTGCTGCTTCAGACTGCTGGCGGCCTGGACGGAAGAACAAAACACAAACACGTTCGTTAAAAGATAGAGTCCAGGCTGCTGCTTCATCTGGTCTAATATCGGAAATTGAATGTCTTTGGGTGAGTAATGGGGAAATTCAGCAGATTGAACTGATAATGAAAATGATTGTTAGTTGCAGCCCTAATCTACACATAAGCACTCACCTGCATGTATTCATCGAAGCGCGTACAATAGGGCGTGCCGCTCTTCTTAGAGGGGGTTGTCCGTCTATTGACCCTGCAGCTCAAGGTGGACGAGGAAGATGATGGAGTGCTGGAGGAGGCTAGCGTCTGCATGCAGGACATCACCACCCTCGACACAGCCACATCTCTCGTCAGACCACAGCCCCTTTGTCTCAGAGTGTTATTTGACTCCTGAAAAATAATTTTTCAACACGTTAGAACATGAAAGACGCCTGAAAATAGCCTCAGACACACATTTAATAGTTTAACCAGTTTTTTAAAGCTAAAAGCAACATGAGGAGGTTGTGCTGAGGGTACTACACAAAAACCCAAAATGGTGAAATTCACAGTATCGTTTCCAAACAGCGTATTGTTTTAAGTATGTGAGTAAAGATACATTATACCTTCTCTGTATGTATGCATGTAGGGTGCTAGTAAGATGGGGAGTGTTATGTTTACAGTGAGCACACTTGTGTAGGTGTGTTTGTTTCCTCACCCTGAGTTCCTGTTCAGCTCGTTGACACCTGTTAAGAGCTACTGTATCCTCACAGATGATCTTTCTCCATGTCCTGCTCACTTTCTTACAGCTGTGAGGTGAGAAAAGATAAACACATGATGAATATAGACAAGAAAAAAAATGAACTATAAAGAAAAAGCAGAATTCCTAACAGTTCTGACAAGGAGCTATAATACATTTCTAAAGTTTTACATCACTGCTTCATTTAGAATCAGAAGTATGTCATGTTTCAACATTTGTTTATTCCTGGTGTAACCCAACTTCTTACTTGTTTTACAGTTCACAGCAGTTGCTAGCTGTGTTTGGTCTTAAGCCATTGTTGATATCCTTAAAACAGAATAAAAATCATCCCTCATGAGTATAAACCCTCTTTCCACACAGCGAACCATGTGTAGTTTACCTAATGAGGTCCATGTCTCCCAGAAGGGCCAGGATGTTCGTCAGGATGCTTCTCATGTTCCTGCACAGCAGAGATGAAAACACGTCGACGTATTCCAGGCCCATCTTGCCTCCGATCACCCGATCCAGCAGATGATCCTCTGCGACCTTTGTGATGATGTTCCAGTCGTATCTGAGAGATAAGAAAACCATTGTTATTCTCCTATTTACCAAAAGTTATATAGCCATGTGTAAACATTCAGTATAACTCTCAGGTGTGTATCTATAGTATCAGTTCTGGTAGGTTTTGATAATATTTGAAAGGGTGCATTTGTTGCCAGCTATAAAGGTCACAGTGTGAGACTGTAATCCTACCTCTTATTCTTCCGATAGCTCTTGGCAAGCTCTTCACACACAGCCTGCTGGAACTTCAGTATAGGCAGGTTGGGGTGGTTGCCACGGTCCGATGGGGAAGACGGCAGTGAGGGGGCCGATGTTCGAGTCCTATGACAACCCACCGGAGTGGATGCTGCCACCAGAGACACGGGACAGTTCGTCTCGCCTTTTTTGGAGGGAGAATTCTTTGGCGTAGTTGCCTTTTCTTGGTGCGTAACAGCCGCAGAGGGCAGCAGGACTGTTGTGGGTTTTCCGTGCATGTGGTCATCCTCTTCATCCGCGTGGTGATCGTCAATCTGACTGTTGTGCAGAGACAGATAGCCGCTATCCTCCAACCCTTCATCCATGGTCCTGTCATGGTCCCTGCTGGTGCTGTTCTCCTTGTTGTGGACTGCTCTGGTGGTGTTGTTGAGAGAGAACACTCTTGTCAGTGCAGCAGGTGGACACTGGGGCTTGATGGGGGCTGGCTCTTTCACTGGGGAAGCTTTAAGGTGAAGCACCATGGACTCTGCAGCTGCCACAGCAGCAGGACTTTTCTCCATTTTGTAGGTCATAGTAGTCTCGTAACGAGCGAATTTCATGTTGATTTTCCTCACAGGGAAGCATACACACTGTGCAGTATGTAGATTCCTGGGTAAAGGAGACACATCGGGATAAAATTTTAGGTTTTACACGTGAGTTGGGACAAGCAGCATGGCTTCTCCTCATGTAAGCCCAACTTAACGTTAACTCATCAAAAGTAACTGGACAGATGCCTGACATGAAAGAAAGTCATAACACATGGCGATATTGCTGTCGATCTGCTAACACAGACTTTGAATACAGTTAGAAACTCGTCCGCAAAATATTTTGGAACCAAATAATTGAATTTGGCGCGACGTAGATTTGGCGGAAATGTACCGTTAGCAGTGACGTAAAGATACTCAGACTGGCGTTTGCAGGCTTTACATGCAAGTGTTAGGTTGGGGTTTGTTTTTACATTAAGTGCACAGTAAAGGGTGAATGGTCCGTGTCGAATATCCTCAGCTTACATTACTGAGCTGAGTTTACGCGCGTACACTGGCTGAGTGATGAGTAGCTTGTAACGGAGTGGCTAGCTGGCTAACTTAATTGCCAGCTCTTATGCAATTACACACAAAGCTCAAACTGTTAACTGTTAGTGAGTTAGCAAATATACTCAGCATATTATCGGTTCGTATCGTTAGTAGACATTTAATTACCCTTAAGCCAGTTCACCGACCAGCAGCTAACTAACCCAGCTAACGTTAGTACCCCGGCGAGCTAACGTCGCTCACAAAACATTAATTTAATATTATGAGTCCCGAGGCTGGAAGATATTGTGTGAAGCCTCCTACCTTGCGTGTGTTGATATCGTTATCCAAAGCAGAGTGTTGCTTCCCTCCTTTTAGCCGCAGAGCGCACTTCCCGCTGACACCCGCTCTACCTGCATTAAATACTCTGAAACTCTGAAATGTCCGCCAGTTCTTCCTCGTATTTGAAATCCGTGCACATATGGCGCAAACCAATCACAGCAGAGGGGTGTCCTTTCCCTTTAAAACTATCAACCAATGGGAGGTAGTCAGTGTTTGACGTCAGCGCGCAAGCGACGTGGTCCCACGGTTGTAGTCCACCCGACGTGAAACACGATTGGAAATGGCAGGTTATACAGTGGTTGTAGCCGACATGAAAGAGGTTACACCTACATTACCGAGGTATCTGGAGTTAGTAAACCTCGGCCGAATTGAATATCAGGCTACACCATGATTAAATCAGGAATTTTAATAGTGGTAGTGGACGGTAACATTTCAAATATCAAAATAATATTTCTATAACCTAGTATTGCTGAAGGAGTTCGTGGTAAATCTACATAGTTGTTTTCACATGTGAAAACCTTTAGATAGTAGACCAATATTTATTATACATTTTCAAGTATTGCTCACTAAATGAACAATGGAATGAAAGATACATAGTAACAATGTTACTTTGAAGTAGATAATAAAGAATATGTGTAACAACCTAAACAGCACAGTGTTTTGCACAGATGTGTCATGAAAGAAATACCACACTTTTCCCCATAGGATCCTGTTTGAGGTTGCATCACACTGTTCAGCAGACACAATAATCCAATAAGGTTATTTAGCCTTATTGGTGTACATGTAACTGTTTTTTGTATGGCAAACACAAAAGATGAGGCTGGAAGAGACTTGAGTCTCATGTTCTAGTCTGTCAGGAATCCCAGTGGTAAAAAAGGGCTAAAAGACTGGTCATTCACAGGATGCCTCAGTTCACACCCCCATCTGGAATGTGTGAAATGGCTCTTTCATTGAAACCAGACCGGGGGGAAGTTGCAGGATGTGGTAGTTTTGTTTTAGCTCTTCAAACATTTCACTTTAATCATATGGTCAGGGGCACAAATCCTCACCCAAGTCCTAGACAAACCATTTTAACATAGTCTAATAGGGAGACAAAAAAGAGTAACAGCTGAAAGCGAAAATGAGAAAACTGCTTGAGGTTAGTGACAGATACAGGCAGAGAAAATGTGTGCATGTAGAGGTGGGGAGGGGTCACCTTCTGAATCTCTCTTAACATCTCTACGGCCTGGAGTGCATAATGCTAATTAAATGATGATCCCGGTGGCATCCTACTTTCAATTCAATGTCCAATTTACAATTCCACACGTCCATTTAAATTACAACTACAGGACAGCACAGGTAAAGCTGTTGCCCAACAGCAGCCTCAGGTCTACTGCCTGTTATTTGTATGCACCAATAAAACATACACTATGAATCAGCTGAAATGCCAAGAGCCTTAAGTCTTATAACTTTATTCTTTGTTGACATTGTGCGAATGTGGTCCATATTCTTAAATTAAATTATATTTATATTGAAAAGCACAAAACACAACAAACTTGTAACCCTAGTACAGGTTATGAATGAAACATAATGTGGTGTGGCCTGAAATTTGCACTTAGACTAGATATTTAAAGGAAGATATTTACACTGTGCACACACTCATCCAACCATGAAACAGGAGGCATTTTAATGATGTTTTGAATATTAACTAAAATAAATCTCTAATCTGTCATTTAAATATGTTATCATATATAATCAATGCCGTTTTGTAATTTATCTTTCTCATGTACCTTCACTTGCGCATTCGTGTGTACTGAACTATCTGTGTTTGAGTGGGCATTTTATTTTGATGCAAAGTGGAACCTTTAAGGTGGGAACCAACGATCTTCAGCCTGCTGGAATATGGTCTGCAGAAGAAGATGTCGTATCAACTGCGCATGCGTGTGTCATTCAATATGTCTGCGCCCCACAGCAAGGTGGTAAAGGAGCAACTTTTTCTTTACAGCAAGACTTAACAACAGTTTACTGTGCGGTCTGTAGACAGTGTGTGACTGAAACCTGATCCGTTAGAGTCAGCGATGTTTGACACAAGTGGAAAACCAAAAGGAGGCATTCGTTTGTTGTTTGATTTCAAGATTAATCACAGTGAGTTCTCAAATGCTCTTACTTTGTATTTGTAGGTAGAAATACAACCCTTCATCGCAACAACGAGGTTGGGTTATGACTTCGTTGTATTCAGAATACCTCTGAATATAGTTATTGTATCGCCATTTATCTTGGCTAGAAATAAAAACAAGATTTTTGAATGAAATTTGGCTGAATGTTCCTTCAGTGCCAAAGCCTGACCACACAGTGAATCTCCCAAACAAATCTGCTCATACAATGGCTTACAGAAGAGCTTTAAACCTTCTTCCGAGACGAAAAGAGTGTGTCTTCAGTCTGCGGATAGCTGGTTTTCAAAAATCACCAAATGTCACCAGACAAACTGTTAGATTTCCTGAACATGCCAACCAGCACTGTGGTGGAACTACAAGAGCTCTTCACACCGGTACACCATTGATGGTGGCCAAACTACTGACAGTGGATGAGCTTTTTGCCAAGACGTCTCTGCAGGAATACCTGAAGAAGGTTGAGACGGAGTACAGTGAATGTTTGAGAGCAGCCAACAGCATTGAGACGGAGGAGCAATGCAGTGAGGATGAGCTGAGGGTCAAAAGGACTCAAGTGTCCCTGCTGGGTCCCCTCGTCAAGAGCATCAGAGAGCTGGACAGCAAACGCAAAGAGATCGCTGAGACCGAGGTGCTCCTGAAAGGTGACGTTGCTCTGCTGCCGCCACACAAAGACAAGAAACCGTTTGAATGAGGGTATTTGATGGTTTACTAAGCCACAGTCCCATTTAGTTTCTGCTAGTCTTTGTTTTTTGAGGATAACCCTCATTCAAGGGTACTGAAGTAAAGTGTGTGTACACCTTGTACTTAATTCAAGGTTCTGTTTCAAAGCTACTTTGGAGGCACAGATGATCACTGGTCAATCTGTCTGGAAAATCTATTGAAAAACAAAACAACAAGATGAGAATAACTGTTGTAGTCTAACCCAGTGGTCTAAATACCTGACAAATGAATGTACTTCATAAATGATGCCAAAATCTAGTATTTCTACAAAGTAGTCTAATACAATAATGGATGACTGCATGAACATTTTGACAACATTTCTGAAATTAGGAAAATGTATATTGTCTCGATGTATGAATCAGCATATGTCGCAACCTTAGTTGACTGTATGTTTTTGTTTTTCCTCAAAGATGAAGACCCAGCCCTGCGAGAACTGGCAGAGCTAGAAAGAGAAGGCTGTTTGCAAGATATTCAAGATCTTAGTCAAAAGGTAGAACTGTGACAACAAGCCGCTGCAGTATAAAATAACACAGCAGAAATGAAGGCTTTATGATAGCACTAACTAATGTTAAAGAATAAGCTAACTGAAGATGTTTCCATCGACCTGCTTCACCAATCAGATCCTGGAAATGTTGATTCCTGAAGAGGAGGCAGATCTGAGCGACCTCGTCCTGGAGGTTACAGCTGGTGTTGGTGGTCAGGAGGCGATGCTGTTCACCGCTGAGGTCTGGAAGTACTTCCTTATGTTATTTAGTATGTTAAAGTGTTCTAGTTGAGATTATGGACTATTTAAAGTAATATGTGCACAAGAAAGTAGTGGCATACCTAACACAAATACTAATTTTGGACCCATGTAAATTGGTAATTGCCACAAACCACATTACTACTACCTATTCACAGAAATAGCATATGATTTTACATCAGGACACAATTTTCTGTGTATTTAAATGCTGGCTTGTACCGTCTCCTCCCCTCTCAAGGTGTTTGACATGTACCAGGGCTACGCTCAGCACCACGGCTGGTCCTTTGACATCCTGGAGAACACGACCAGTGAAATAGGTCAGATTAAAGAGTCAGCTCACCCAAAGCATATTTCACCTCTATTGTATTTAAAGTATTGCATTGTATTACTCTGTCATGTAAACATCTGAACTGGGTTATAGTCTAATCAAGGACAAAGACTCAGGGTAAGGATAATATTAAGAGGGCTGTATTACTCGCAAGTCTTCTGAATTATCTGGTCATATACACACTTTCGATTTCCTCTTGATCTGACTCCGTGCACATGCCAGAAACATCACAGAGTGAATTAGATGTAATCTGGTGATTATTTATAAGAAGGATGGTGAGTTATAGAGGAGAAACACATTTTTGTGTTTAAACTAGGAATGAAATGATAGAAGATAGAACTATGTATATCAACAAAACCCCTTTAAAGTGCAACCACTATTGCAATAACTGACACCAAACACAAGGGGGAGTCCTTCCTTTACCATAGACATGTGGAGTGGCCACTCAGGTGTGCCTGCACATAATGTCAGAGAAAGAGACAGCAGAAGGAGCTGCACATTTGTTTTTTGAGTAAAGGTTACATATTTAAACAGACACTTACAGTAAA